CTTCCCAGCGATAACACACTGCCAGAGCTCACCCTTCCTGCGCGGCTGCCGAGCAAGGCTTGGCTGACGGCCCTTTGTTGGCCTAGGTGATGACCCGCTAAGCAACGGTCTCAAAGTATCCTCCACGTGCAGAGCACGAGCAGCACGTGCGCCTGCAGTCTCCAGAGTTTCATCAGGAACTGGGGTTGGCTTTAAAAGCTAAGGAGCACCAAAACAATTCACATATTTAGGAAGGGGAAGGCGTTAATCTTAGGTGCAGAATTTCCACCATTCCTCAAGCTAAGGCTGACGTCAGGTCATTCACGTAGCAAGGCACTAGGCAGCGGAACCAAGGGCATGAAGAATATTGAGAACAGGCATGGAAGATGCTTATTTTTCAAACAAGCAGCAGGAAATTATGTCACTATGGGTGATGCAATCCTTGTTGCAACTTCTGTTTCAGCTTTAGAAATTGTCCAAGTTTAGTCCCTTTTCTTCCCCTTACTGTCTATTGCCTGAGAAATCCTGAGCACCACTGAAATCATCCTGGAAAAGATGGATGAACATTAGATCCTTTATGTTTCTAAGGGCCACGGCCGACTCATGTAACAAATAAGGTCTCCCTCAGCCCCTGCAAGCTGTGGCAAGGAAGAGGAGAAACAGCCCAAACCAGACTCAAGAGTCTTGGAATGCAGCTCTCGATTATTTGCAGGTGGAGGATTATTTAAACCACCACTCTCAAAGAATAAAAATTTTAAAATACATATGTAAACACAACCACATACACAGATAAACTGCTAGCTTGTAAGAACATAAACCCTAGAAGAAGTTCATTTTCATTCAGAGTTATTGGCTGGTCTGGTAAAAGTCTCTATCTACAAATCTCATACTAGGTGATCTCAACCATGATGGCACTACTGGTGGAAAAGAGGAAAAAAAAGCATTGTATAATTTTATGGCTGTATATTACATTTTCCTTCATTTTCCTGTGATAATTATATCACAAGAAGCTTTCGTATATAATTTTGGATAACTGTATCATAGGAAGCTTCATGTTTTTATACTGTCCTTTCATGGAGATGAGGAGGAGGTCAGAATGCTGAAGAAATGAGCCTCTGCAAGAGGGCTGGACAAGCACATTCATTAGGACGACACTGAACTTCAGTTTATTTTTGCTAAACCAGTAGGAAGCAAGACCTCCTTGATTTTTCTCTGCGTGCCCCAAACGGCACCATAATGTCACACATAAAACAAGAGCTGGGACAGGGTGCCTGAAGAGGGCTTGAAAACCTCCAAATATTGCTCACAAAGTGCCCCCTGCTGGCACTCAGTTCATTCGAAAGATTGTCTTTTTGTGCAACAAAACTCGTGTTGAGGAAAACATGAAAATCACAATCCTCATTTCTGCTTTTACAAGAGAAAAAGGATTCATGTCTTTTTTTTTTATGAAACAAGACACTGCAACATTCTGTGGGAAAAAAAACATTTTGTAAAACGCTTCTTGCCTGTCTCTTCAGTGAGGGCAAAATGGATTGGGCAGAAACACACTTGGTAAAAGTTATCTCTCCCCTGCCAAAATTAGCCTCCTGCCATGACTAGAAAACCAGCTGCAGAAGCTCGTTTGGGGACCACCCCATTTCAGTAGGATAAAGCCCTTAAATGCTTTCTGCAGGCCAGAAAACATAGCGTACATAAGGCAAATGCAACATGCCTCCTCATGGAGGCTCAAAGAATATGCAAAGTCTTTCACTTCTTATTTCTGATGGCATTTAACAAAACACACTAATCATAAATTTCTGTCCACTTGGTTGAAACTAGCAAACCCCTTAGGAGCTCCAAACAGCCATCAAAAAAGAAGGGAAAAACCACGCTTGGCAGAAAAATGTTTCTATTAATCTCTATAGAAGCATGGAAT